ACTCACATGCTGATCCTGCGATCCATCATTCCCTCCATCTCTGGGATTACACTCCGTCTTAAGCTCCCAACACCTTGTTTCCCTCCAGGCTGGAGTTGTGTTGAACATGGAGAGCTTTAGACGCTGTGGATTATGGGCTTCTTAATTAAGTAACGCTGTTAGTTCATGAATCACATCGGCGGTGATGCAAAAGAACCGGACAATATCCTAAAGGCTCGGGGGAATCCTTAACTCTGAGCTTACAAAGAGGCTTTGAATGCTTTGTTGGTTTGTTTTAATGCTTTAATAATATGATATGTGCAGTGCTGGGTAGTAACTGATTACATGTAATCTGGATTATGTAATCAGATTCCAAAAATTAAGTACTTGTAATTATACTATGTTTTAAAATGCTCATAATCAAATTACAGTTACTTTTTTATGGATAACACATGATTACAAATTATTCACACAATGACAGTAAATTATTCATAATTTATTGATTCTCTCTAAATTCCTCTTTTTCATCTTTGACATTTTCCTTTCTAAAACAGCCTGAAGCTTATATACACTCAGAAAGTCCAGTTTTGTGGACATTCACACAGAGACCAGTCATTAATCAGGAGGCAACACAGCATTTGACCACTGGATTTACAAAAATCATTTCAGGTTTAAGAACTGTTTCAACATTGCGTCAACTACTGATGAACACATTAATTTTTTTTTAAAATTATCAATCAGTAGGTTATTTAACCATTTATTATTATGTATTAATGAAAGGCTTTTGTCTCATAAAACTCATTATTTACATGTAATGTAGACATTCCCAAATTTATTGTCATCTGAACCTCTTTCACCTAATGTATTTACTTTAAAGTGGTGGTCAACCAGCTATTTTTGAAGGCATGATTGTGTTTATGGGGGGCACTGTAACACGTGTTCATGCTTATCAGATTCCAAAAATTAAGTACTTGTAATTATACTATGTTTTAAAATGCTCATAATCAAATTACAGTTACTTTTTTATGGATAACACATGATTACAAATTATTCACACAATGACAGTAAATTATTCATAATTTATTGATTCTACGTAATTCCTTTTTCCATGATGCAGGGATTCCCAAACTTTTTGTCAGTCAAACTCTCTTGACCTAAAATATATACTTAACGTTTACAAAGTTAATATTTCAATAATTTTACAACATAATTGCGTGTTCTCTGATGTCGGTTAATGGTCATATATTTTATTCTCTTTTTTAAAATAACAATAAACCCATTAAAATGTATAAACAAGTTAAAGTAATCTAAAAGTAATCCAAAAGTAGTCAGAATACATGACCTAAAATGAGTAAGTAAATCTTGATTACATTACTGACAACAATTTTCAGCGTGTAATTTGTAATCAGTAACAGACTGCAATTTGTAAGTAATCTACCCAGCACTGAATATGTAAAATTATGTCAACACTGAACAACATTTCAAGTGGAAATGATGAAATCTGGTCCGGTCTACTTATGCATTCAGCCTTCAAGACAAGTAATGTCCCCTTCTGCCTCCAGATGGACGTATCCCTCACACATGGAAAGCTCTGTAATCTCAACTTCTTGGCAGTTTGAAGCCCTGTATAAACTTCACGTCTGTCAGCATATTTGACTGAGAATCCTGTACAAACCACTTTCTCAAAGACTGTAAATCCTCCACACTGAGATTTCCCAAGAACATCCGTAAACTTTTCAGCTATAGGAACGGCTGAGGCAAAGCAGGTAAACATTTTTAACACCTTAATAAATATTTTTTAAATATTTTTATATATCGAAAGAGATGCGCACACATGCATATACCCAAATCTATCTATCTATCTATCTATGCATGCATTTAATAATCTAAGATAGCTATTTATCTATGCATGTATTTATGCATGCATTAATTATCTCCCTCTCTATATATGCATGCATTAACTTATGCATGCATGCATTATCTATCTATCCATCCATCCATCCATCCATCCATCCATCCATCTATGCATGCATTTAATAATCTAAGCTAGCTATTTATCTATGCATGTATTTATGCATGCATTAAAGGGTTAGTTCACCCAAAAATGAAAATTCTGTCATTAATTACTCACCCTCATGTCGTTTCAAACCCGTAAGACCTTCGTTCATCTTCAGAACACAAATTAAGATATTTTTGATGGAATCTGAGAGCTGTCTGACCCTGCATAGACAGCAATACAACTGAAATGTTCCCAAGTCCAGAAACGTAGCAAGGAGATCTGTAAAATAATCCATGTGACATCAGTGGTTCATCCGCAATTATACGAAGCTACGAGAATACTTTTTGTGCGCAAAATAAATAAAAAATAACGACTTTATTCAACAATTCGTTGAATTCCTACGTTGTTTGCGCTTTGATTTGAATGAAAACAACATATCCTCGTGACGCAGCTGACACAGAAAAGCATACGTTGTTTACGTCCAGCTGACATTCTCCAAAATGGCACCAGGGTGATGCGGAGGAGACGAATTGTTGAATAAAGTCGTTATTTTTTTTCCTTTTGCGTACAAAAAGTATTCTCGCAGCTTCGTATAATTACGGTTGAACCCCTGATGTCACATGGATTATTTTACAGATCTCCTTGCTACGTTTCTGGACTTGGGAACATTTCAGTTGTATTGCTGTCTATGCAGGGTCAGAGAGCTCTCAGATTCCATCAAAAATATCTTAATTTGTGTTCCGAAGATGAACGAAGGTCTTACGGGTTTGAAACGACATGAGGGTGAGTAATTAATTACAGAATTTTCATTTTTGGGTGAACCCTTTAATTATCTCTCTCTCTAAATATGCATGCATTATATTTTGCATACATGCATGCATTATCAATCAATCAATCTATCTATCTATCTATCTATCTATGCATGCATTTAATAATCTAAGCTAGCTATCTATCTATGCATGTATTTATGCATGCATTAATTATCTCTCTCTGTATATGCATTAATTATCTTATACATGCATGCATTATCAATCAATCTATCTATCTATCTATCTATCTATCTATGCATGCATTTAATAATCTAAGCTAGCTATTTATCTATGCATGTATTTATGCATGCATTAATTATCTCTCTCTATTGAATTATCTTATACATGCATGCATTATCAATCTATCTATCTATCTATCTATCTATCTATCTATGCATGCATTATGCATTTACTTGTTTATTTAAAGTCTCATTTGGGGTTTTTCTTTCATATGGGTTTACAAACAAACACACACAGTCGATGTCTGGTTGTTTTCTAACTACCTGTGAGTCGATGAAGCTCATCTGTCATTAACGCTCTGTGTGAGTTTGCAGGTCACATAATCTCACCTCATCCTCACGGCCCCAAACCTGATCGATTGGTCAGTCCCTTCCCTTCCCTACAGCACAGATGGAGTTCATTAGAGCCGTTAGCAACCCAAATCCTGGCAGATTGTGAGAATTTAAACACTTGCCAAACTTAACAACAAATGTGACAGCATCGAACGCACTCCTTCAAACCGAATCTAGCGCTGTTAACAATCTGTAAGTATAGATAAAAAGGTTTACTGATAACCACTGATGGATCCTTCGGTGGCTTTTTGCACTCAAGTCTCTTCTATTTTTGGAGACAAATCACTCGGTCAGCCCTGGCTGTTTCCACCCAGTCAATAAAGTCACCTCACCGGTCTCTTTGTCTGAGCCTAATATCCACTTACCCCGAGGCAGCACGGATCTCAAGAGAACATCTCCTCAGGGGGAAACGTGTCTGCGGGAGCTATGAAATTCACAACTTCTATCTTGAACCATACAGCATGTTATAACCAGCACACACAGAGGAGCTGACACCACATTTGGTGATTTTAAACTCAACAGCATGTCTAGAAATGACATTTCCACTGAGCAAGAAAGAGAACAAAAACGTTTGCCAAATGTGTCTACAAACAGCAGTAATCGTCATTTATGAAGCATGCATGTGTCTGGAATAGCATACTCCCGTGCTATTGGTACTATTTTGCGGTTTTAAGTCTGTGCACAGTATGCTACTTTTCTGTACGCATTGAATACTAAATGAACTGCTGCATTTGCCAAAATATAGAAGGCTGTGCATTAATGATGAACAGTGCATACATTCTGTTGAATTATTTGTGCGTTCATTTAAGCATGCAGGAAAGAGAACAAAAATTGAGCCAAATGTGTCTACAAATGGCAGTAATCATCATTTATGAAGCATGCAAGTGAGAATGGATGTGTTTGGAATAGCATACTGCCATACTATTTGAACTATTTTGCAGTTTTGCACACTTTTCTGTATTCACTTAATGCTTGGATTAACTTGCCAAAATAGGCTACACTAACAGTGCATCTTTTATTTATTTATGCATTTTTATATGCATTATCTATGTATTTATTTAAGCATGCATAAAAGAGAAAAAAATGGTTTGTCAAATGTGTCTACAAATAGCAGTAATCATCATATATGAAGCATCTAAGTCAGAATGGGTGTGTTTGGAATAGCATACTACTTGTTCTATTTTGCAGCTTTAAGTCTATGCACTGTGCACAACAGCATGCAACTTTTCTGTATGCATTGAATATTTGAATGAATTGCTACATTTGCTACAATATATGGGGCTGTGTGCATTGATGATAAACAGCGCACACGTTATATTTCACACAATGCAATGCATTCAAATGCACCCTAGTTTTTCATTTTGACGAAATGTGCAACTGCACATTCTGCTCCTGCCGAAAGTGAAGAATTGGATTTAAAATGGAATTTTTGATGACTGAATGACGACACTCCTTGAATTAAGCATGCAACACAATGACATCATGTGACGATAATGCAGTTATCATTTCAGATCACATATTCTGGATTTTGTACTGCATTATACAGTAGACTATGAATCAGTAAGCAGTTCACTACATGGCTGGGATTCTTCATCTGAGGGGGTTTTCAGTGGGGTTCATATGTCTGTATGCGGTACATACCGTATTGATGTGTCATCCTGAAATGTACCACTGCCATCTAGAGGCTGGCATGAAATGTGACTGTAGATCGAGTTTGTGTCGGGTGTAAATGAGAGCATGTCCTGTTGAAGATGTGCTCGGCTGTGGTTTAGCATACAGGAGAGATGAATTTACAGCGCCAGAAGCGCAGGTCATGGTGACTTGTCTTTGCGGCTCTGCACATGAACGGAGACAAAGAAAGAAAGAAAGAAAGAAAGAGAAAGAAAGAAAAAGAGAACAGGAAGAGACAACAAAAGAGTTTGCGTAGTCACTTTTCGTCTATGTTTTACTGAAAATTCCCAGGGTCATTTTCTTACTATACACTCTAAAAAATGCTGGGTTAAATACAACCCAGTGCTGGGTAAAATTGGGACAAACCCAGCAATTGGGTTGTTTTGATCCAGTGGTTGGGTTAATACCAAGAAAGTTGGGTTAAACATTTAACCCAACCGCTGGGTCAAAACAGCCCAATTGCTGGGTTTGTCCCAATTTTACCCAGCACTGGGTTGTATTTAACCCAGCATTTTTTAGAGTGTAGATTTCCAACTTTATAGGGCATCGCTAGACACGTTTTACAATGAAATACCGAGTCCAAGTAAAATATTAAGACTACTGATAAATCGTTGTCTGTCAATGGAGATGACCGTATACTGACCTGTGAATCACTTTCCCTGCCCGTGTGTTTTCGATCAGCTGTTTAGAATCAAGAATTAAATGCCAGATTCGCAAATGAATCACTCCTTTGATCTAATCGGTCAAAAGGTCTGAAATATGATTCGCGATTCAGTTCGATTCGTTCCGACAGTTCACTCACGCACTGAATCATTTGCGGCGGTTTCTCACATCGTAACAAGATACTTTATAAAACAAAACAAAAAGAGGACTGGATGAGGTGCATATTTACAAAAAAAAAATCATTGTAGGTAACAAAACTTGCGAATATTTTCTATAATTTTTCAGCGATGAAGACTCTTCATTGCCTTGTCAAGGACTCTGTACTGCAGGTAAAGCTAATTAATAGCATATAAAAGTATAAAAATATAATTCTAAATCATAACTTATTGAATAAAATACTTAATTTACGATTTTTAAACATGTGTATCATATTTTTTCCACAGTGTTAGAATTACATGAACAAAGGAGTGTATTTTAAAGCTTCAACGGTGAAATTCTTGATGATTTAAATAAATATTTCAGGTGTTTATTTATTTTTATTTTTTCCTTTTGCTTCATCGTAAACAAAGCATGTTTTCTTGGCAACGGTTTTTTTTTAATCAATAATTTATAGTTGTGTTTTTTTTTTAAATATCGAAAAACATTTTAGACATAACATTGGCAAATACATTTTTGTCTATTTTTGCTCAATGACAATAGGTCCAATAGATGCGCGACTCCGAGCCACACACACACACACACACACACACACACACACGCGGCAGCGGCATTACTGAATGAATCATTTTTTGAACGATTCAGTGACTCACATCATAAAGGCAGCCACTTGTTGCGTTTTTTTTTGTTGTTGTTGTTGAAAACATATCGATTTATTACAATGAAAGATAGCCTTTAGCAATGATCAAGAACAAAAAACCTGTTACGAGGGATTTAGAATAATAACAAGGTAAAGAAAGCAAGTATCAAGATAAAACAACATAAATAAAATAAGTGTAAAATGCAATAATAATTATCAAAAACTAAATAATAATAATACAGATAAATAACAGAAAGAAAATCTTTTTTTTTACTTTTCTTTTTGACTCAAGTAGGGGTTAGGAAAGCTCTTCTAAACATTCTATCTCAGTTCACGGATGATTCGAAACCTTATTTAAAATCTGGTATGTTTTAACTGCTTTTTTTATTTCTTTTTAATTTACAGAGGGATTCAGCGAAACTTTTACTTGTTGCGTTTTTGAATGAATCAACGTTGTCGAATGAATCGGTTGAGTTAATGATTCAATGACTCGCTCATAAAGACAGCCGCTTGTTTGTTTCCTGACTGTTTGAAAGAATCGGTTGAATGAACGGTTCAGTGACGCACACATATGACAGTCCTTGTTGCCTCCTGAAGGCGTAAGAATGTGACCTGCAGAAAAATTCAGCATTAATGCATTGAATAATGAACCATATGAGCAATGACTAACTACGGCTCTTTATTTCCAACAAGTTCATTTTCTTGTCATTGTGTAATTAAAGTTAAAAGTTGAATTAATTAAAGTTATAATTAATAAAGTGTCTGAGCTTGACCAGAGCATATTTCTGAATGTCTGCTGGAACCAAACATTTTTTTTTTTTTAAACTGCAGCAAAGTTTCCGTGGCTTTGGATTCAGTGGGAACTGTTAGTTTAAATGGGCATGAAATCTCTGCTGGTTTTTATAGCACAATGGAAGCGAGACAGATGGACAGTGATTGGCGTTTCTTTATCTTGCGATCACTCTACCGTCTCTAAGCGTGTCACAACAAGCACAACAAAATTGAAAAATGAACAGGAGTGCAGGACAGATTTGCTGCTCCGTAACACAGTTTCTTCCAGAGCCGCGTGTTCAACAGTGTGATGTGTCTGACAGCGGCTCTTACTGTCATATGAAACTCTCAAGAGAGAAATTCATTCCAGCAAAATATTTTTCCAAACTACTTTCAGGCTTGAGGTGGATTCAGCCGGTTCAGAGATGCTGGAATAATTCCAGGCAATATAACCTGTCAAACGCCTGGCTGAAATCCTCTAAACATGCATAATGATTCCTCAGAAACATTCACTAAAGATCTGCAGCAGCATTAATTAAAAACTCTATATTTTTCAGTGGTAGGCCGAGGTTGTACCATCAAGCTTGTGACAGTTTTATGCCCAATTAGATATCACCAATTAAATCAATTACAATAAAATATGAAGACTTGATTTGTGCAAATTAATATAACCTTCCCCAAATCACCTTTTCCAAAATGAGCAGATTAACAGTTTCAGCTATAAAAAAGATCTGTCTTACGGTAATTGCTCTGGTAGTTTTCTTGATATAAGACTGAATGAGTAATAAAACATTTGAACGGCTCAACTTCACCCCCTGCTGTTTAAGAGAGGATTCATTTACCAAAGCAGTTCAACCATCAGTGCTATACACTGGTGTCTGATGGGTGTGTAATTATTAAAAGGAAACAAAAAATCTAAAAAAAGGTTTTTGTGAAAATTAAAAGAGCTTAAAATGCAATTTCTTATATATCATTTTATTATATTAATTGTACATTTCACATGTAACATTCAAAAGTTTGTATGGGGTCAGTAAGGTTTTTCAAAAATAAACTGCTACTTTAATCAAGGATGCATTAAAATGGTCAAAAGTAACAGTAAAGACATAATGTTACAAACGATTTCTACTTCAAATGTTGTTCTTTTGAACATTATGTAATGATGTAATTAGTAATCACAGGAATAAATTGCCTTACAATATATTCACATAGAAAACAGTTATTTTAAATTGTAATAATATTTCACAATATTATAGTTCATAACTGCATTTTTTATCAAATAAATGTAACCTTGGTGAGCACAAGACTTCTTTAAATAAAAAAAAAAAAAAAAAACTCCCCAAAGTTCTTAATATGTTTATCATTTTTCACATTGACTTTAGTGAATGGTTCTTTTTTTAAATCAGTTTCTACAAAAACTTCCACCATTATAAGATATAGTTCACCGAACACATGTTCACGTTGAGCTTTTGTGACCCAAACCTATTTAATTACTTTTCATATTCCTCTTTTTCCTCAAAATAATGGACTCAGTGGAGCAGGAAAGATGAAATAAGAGAGAGCGAGAGACAGAGATCGTCCACACAAAGCCTCATCGATGCAACTGATCAATCCTGATCCGACACACCGATAAAATTCGCACCTGTTTATGACCTGATGATGGTAAACTCTCAGCCTTTCTCTTCCTCTGGTGATCTCACCATTCTGTTAACCGCCCTGTTTTCTCCATTCCCTGATCCGTCTCTCCAGCGGCCTCATCTTACCCTCTATTCCCAACAATCCCGCTCACCGCCGGCCCTCTCTGCTCTCATTAGCCCCTCTGACAGCCTTGATCTATGTCTGTGTTCCGTCTATCAGCTTGTGTAAAGTCCACTATTCTTAGGTCATAGTTCAGGTTTGTTATCCGCCTTACTATAGCCGCAGTTAAATTGGTAATGACCTCCCGAGCAGCGGCGGCTTCTGTTCCCTGAGGCTCCTGCAGTAATGGGCAATGGAGGCATTTTTCCATGAGGTCATTTTCAGGGGCAGCGATGCTGCCGGTCCAGACGGATTCAGCGCAGCTCATGGGTTTGATGATGGATGGGTTTAGTCAGAGAGCGTGGAGAAACATTTTTCCCCAAACACTTTTGGAATACATTTGCTTTAGGATACTCAGGATAGCTGGTTAATAACACTTCTTCTGGAGCAATTCCCATTATTTACACTGTACCTGTACATACACTCTTAAATATAAAAACTCTTTATTGATCGTGGAGAAACATTTTTCCCCAAACACTTTTGGAATACATTTGCTTTAGGATACTCCTGACAGGATAGCTGGTTAATAACACTTCTTCTGGAGCAATTCCCATTATTTACACTGTACCTGTACATACACTCTTAAATATAAAAACTCTTTATTGGCATTGATGGTGAAGACATAGTGGAAAATGTGTTTTTACATGATCTTCACACTAAGAAAAAAATGGTTATTTTAAGAACTTTTCACTGAAAGGTTCTTTTGGGAACCCAAAATGGTTCTTCTATGAAAGCACTATGAAAACTAGCTAATATAATTTGGTTAATATAGAGCATTATTATAAGGCAAAGTATATATTTTTGTATGCTATGACAGGTTGCAGTTTGTAACCATTTTCTGTTTAATGTTCGATCTGCTTTAATAGTCCTGCAGTGTGACAAATGAAAATTAAATGAACAAATGAAAAGCAAAAACGAGTCTAGTAAGTCTAATATGAGGTCATAAAGATGCACGTACAACACAGGTCTGATCTTAAAAAAAAAATGTCTGGAAAAAGTCCTAATGTTACCAAATTTGATGATGAAAATATTAATAAAAACTGTACACATTTTTCACAAAATAAGATTTTTCAACTTTATATACAGGGATATATAAATCTGAAAAGGAGTGGAAAAGTTGGATTAGGCATAAAAATAATGTCTTCGGAATGATTAATACATGTGAAAATTGGCTGAGAATTGAAAAATAGTTGTAATGCGGCTCAAAGGAAGACAGAAAGCATGTCTTTGTATGTTTTTCCGCTCATTACTGGAAAACGCAAGATTTCTTCACATTACAAATGGCTATGAAAGCAAAAACGCTAATAAACATCATATTTTGTGAAAAGTATGACGTTCTCAAGCAAAAACAGGCACTAGTTTTGGAATCAGCACCCAAGTATTGGATTTCATTCAGCAAATATACAGTGCAGTATAACCTTTACACAAGAAATGTAATAATTGCATTAGATAAAATATAAAAGCAAGTGTAAAAGTGTGCATTTTTCAAGCAAAACATTTCACAAGCACAAGTTTGAAATGATAAACCATGTTTTCTTCAAATAATGAATCTGGGTTTTTTGTTTTATCCTACACTCTAAAAAATGCTGGGTTAAATACACTGACAAGTCTTTCTGACTGTTCTCCTGCCAGACGTCAAGCGGGGAATCTGGGATCTGTCAGTGTGTGTTTGTGTTTTTGGGAGCTGGGACGTCT